TTATCCGCGCCCCTTCTCTCTTCAAAAGAGAAGAAGAAAAGAGAGGCAGCAACCCCGAGTTCCCAGGTGGCAGCCGCCGGACTGGCTGGAATGCCGCGACTCTGGTTCTGGTTCTGACGGATTCAGGATCGGACCTCAGGCCGGCGGGTGAGCAGTGCGGTGTGTTGGCTGTATCGTGACAATTTATTTGACCATGCCCTCTCTCTGTGTGTCCCGCTCTTCTTGTCTCTATGCCTCGACATGAGCGCTATCAGAGTGGCATCTCCATGGATGCCGGATAACCAGCGCATGATCTTTGATTTATAACGATGCTGTCATATTTGTCTACTTTAAGGTACTGACTGACTGCTGCAGAAACGATGTTTGCTTTCGGCTCAACGCATCGAAACGTGGGCTCACCGAAGGAAATCGCGGTGACTTGACTTGCCTTGCCTAGCCCTCGCATCAGTGGTCGGCCTGCTGGGCTTGTTTTGATCACACATTTCCCCAGACAGATGACAGCGCGTCTCATGGAAACAAGGAGCGGCAGACGTGTTGTGTACCTGTGTATATATGGTGTGTGTGTGTGGGCATACGCAGTACTGTCGCCGCAAGTGAAGAAGCAAAGAAAAAAAAAGGCCCAAGCAAGCAGGGTACCGACGGCTAAGGCACAAGGCCATCCATGAATTTGGACGTGGATGCAACAATACACACACTGCCTGCATTGATTTGGTTGGCTCCTGGATTCGAGTGTATTTTCCCCGAGGTTGCCTTGTTGGAAGAAAATTCCAGTGCCTGCAACTCGACACCGACACACACACACACACACTTACAGACTCCCAGCTAGCGCAACTCGTTGGTTCAGTTCCCCAGATGTTTGTGTGTCGTGTGGCATCTCTGTGTCCATGTGCTGCTCTGCAATGCGGTGGTTGGTAATTGTCTAAGCATCTTCCAGGATGCGGGTCAATTGTCACCGCGATCCATGGCAGACCAGACAGACGCCGGCGCCGCGCTGGAATGGAGCTTATTGTCGGCAGAAAAAGCGCAAAAGCGCAAAAGTGCGCCGCCCACCGCCTCCACTGGCCCCCGAAAGCGGTATGGCATCAGGGCAGCCCGAGGCGTTAACCCGAGTATCTGATTGGCCCCTTCCCGGTAATTATGGGTATCGGCCAGCCGTGTCTGTCTCCACAGCCGCGATAAATGCATCTCATTTTTTTTGGTTGGTGTTCGTTTCCCTTTCGCAGAGAGAACTCATTCTCTTCACCGCCCGGAACCCAGCAGGACCCCGGTCAACTTTAGGTGAAGTGTTCGACCCCTCCGAAACCCCCAACCCCCCCCCCCCCCCCCCCCCCCTCCCAAGGGTCCCCGTCCCCTTTCCCACGATTCCACGCTTGCTTCGTCGACTCTCTTCCCACCTCGTCTTACCCGACCCATCAAACTGGCCTGCCCCGAGTGTCCTGCCCAGCCGGGCTGCCACTACCGTCGCCACCAACTACCGCCGCCGTCCCCTTCCCCTCCCCTCCCGCTGAGGCACCGTCCTGCCCTGCGCGCGGCCCCCTCAGAGAGCCCCCTCCCCCTCCGTCCATCCCATCAGTGCCATCGCTGAATTCACAGGGCTGCTCCCCGCTGTAACCCTCCTGAAAAAAATCTCCAACAATCATTTCATGCCGTGCGTACCGTGCCACCAGATCGACGGGCAAAGAAATAGGCTCCCGGCGCCGCGTGTGTTTACTTACACTCTCTCCTACTCATCAGCCCGTCCCGAGTGCGTGGCCTCTTCCTTTCTTTTGCCCCTCCGTCTCATCGTTGGGAAATCGAACGCCATCGCCCCGTCCGTCGGTGCGGGCCTCACCCACCTCACCGACCGGAGTGGAATAGCCGGGGAGGGGACCACCCCTCAATGAGTTCCATCGACAGCCGATGAGCCTTTCCAGAAGGACACCGAGCAAACCGTCCCTTTCCCGGCCTGCACGGCAATGTTTTCAGCATCGTATTCGTAATACGCTTTGTAACTCCTCATTTGTTTGCCAGAGCGACCATGACAAGTGAGATATTGAACACTAAGAACACGGTGACAAGACTTAGATTTCATCGAGGCCTGTGCTACATAGTCGGGGAACCCGGCCCGCCCCTGAAGTGAGCGAGAGCCTCATGTCCCATCTCCCAACTAACTCAACTTCCTTCCGGCAGTTGACACGTAATCCGAACAATCCTGCCGCCGCGATCTGTGAATAGAACCAAGCAAGGAACACCGCCGTGGCCCCTTCCTCCACAGATCCCTCTGAAAGCATAAAACCGCGATCTTCAGGGTCACCGTCTAATCATGCTTCAAGCCTCATCCCAGGACTCTCCCTCCTCATAGCCGTTCAGCTCAACAGCTTCCGCCCGGCGCGGATGTTCCCTGTAGCGACTCGCCACCTTTCTCCGCTTCAAACGCACACATTCGATTTTTCAAATTCTGCATTGCGAAAAGGGATGGGGAAACATCTTAAAGTCTGAAGTCGCGGAGATCAACGTGGCGAAAATGAGAGAGAAACTCAAAAGATACTCAATACGAATTCGAAGGGGGGCGGCTAACAGATGGGAAGCAGTTCATCTCCATTTTCTCACATCGATGACTTTCAAAACCCGTACACCACTACGGATGCGATGAGTCGCAATCACAAACTCTATTCATATCCCAAGAGTGCGTGTAGGCGTCCTCGCCCTGAATCCCCTGTGCCTTGCCAACTCGCACCCTATACAGAAATCAAGGTTGCCAGAGGCTGCACCCAAGGACCCTGTCCGACGAGTGTCAACTTTGCCCAACTATGCTCTCTCATCCCTTCCCCTTCCCCCCACGTGAAGCGGCCCAGGACAGTGGTGCCTGACAGTTGGGTTTTCAAAAACTGGGACACGCACGCGAACACGCCTACTCAGTTATGATCCAAAATATCCGCAGAGGGATCTGAGTGGTGGCAGTAGTGGGTGACATCACACAGCAACGATCCGAGCCGGGTTGATGCCGGAAACGTGGACGCGATGCGACCTCCACGGTATCATGGCACTGCGTGAAATACCACAGTAGAGTTGACAAATGTTCCCGATCAGCATTCGAGTCGCGGGAAGACCCGGGTTTGTTTTTCAGTCATAAAAACTCTGAAGTGTCATTCAATCAACGGCTGACAAGTGCCGCACCCATAGTCCAATACTAGCGCCAAGTACATCAATAATGATAATCGTAAACCGAGTCCACAGACTCATATCAGCTCCCTGAATTCAAACAGAAAAGTAGAGAAACACTTCACAATACCAACGCTCGCACAAAATATGCATACAACCCTCAAGCATCAACCTTCCAACGCAACCCAATCCCCCCTCTGGCATGATCCTGATTGCTTCTGCTGCCTGTGGTCCGACCTGTGGTGATGAGTTAGTCTAGTCCTCCGGCAGTGGTCTCCTGGTTGGCAGAACGGCTGCTCCAAACTAGAAATGAAGAAAACAGCGAAAGACAAGAAATAGTGGTAACTAACGAGCTTTCCCGCGAGGTCGCGACGGACATTCCCACGAGTGGCTCGGGAAAGATGATCCTCGGGTTGGCAGAATGCTCCTGGGTGGTTGATCCGGGAATTGGCTTGTCTCCTGGAGCCAAGTAGGCAACTTGGGACCGCACCGTAGAGTTCCCCGTGGGCAGTGTACCATCTGAACCGCCAGACTTGATGTCCCATGGCTGGCTGCAGGCATCAAAGCTACAAGCATGTCCGGGAAACCAGAAGCTCATTGCTGAACCGAGCAGAAAATCGCAACAGCTATCTCACTCAATCCACGGACGTGTACTGGTGTGGGTACCCAGTTGGATCGTGCTTCCTGATATGATCCGAGCTTACCCAAAAGGGAGAGTTGGCTCTCCATGATAGAATTTCTTTTGAGCTCAACGAGCCATTGGTCCTTGTTGGTAGACACGACAATATGACTGAGTGAACAGGTCAAGGGGGTCTCCATGATGGCTGTGTGCAGGTAGTGGTACTGCCACGTTTGGGTCCGGGAGGAGCTATCCAGCATCATTTGCAATGGGGCGAACTCCATGAGATTGTCCAGGCAGTGTTTTCCAGGCAGTAATATTGTCCAGGGCTTGAAGGTTTCCAGTGATCCAGATTTGTGTCTAGGCAGACTTCCGAGAAGGTGATTGACGTCCAGGGGTGTGCAAATCCAACTGAAGGCTGTTGCGCTCAGTAAATGAGAAGTCTCAAAGGAGGAACCCACGAGACCCCTCGAGAAGGGCTTGAGGTCGTCCATAGAATGAATCCCAAAAGGGTTCAATAGTATATACAGTCCGGGGACTCACCTTGCTGTCCAGATGTCGACCTCAATGTTCTATTAGAAAAGCCTTGTTCACCCAGAACTCCGGAAGTCCAAGTAGTAGAAAAAACAAAACCCAGACCAGGAGAAGAGAGCAAGCGATATCACATCCCACCTTCAGGACGGATCCAGACAGCAAGGTGGTCCTTGATGATGAGCAAATTGCCGACATAATTCATCTGAAAAGCGCGTCTTTTTTTTTCCGATCCAGGTCCAGGGCCTTAAAAAATGTGCAAGGCGCAGTCTTGCTTGCCAATGGGGCATTCAAATCGAATAGCAAAAATCGTTGGGCCCATCCATGTATGCAGTCGTGAAACGTCCAGGAGTAGAATGCGGCAAGAATCCATTCTTGGGGCGATATCCGGGAAAGATGGCAGAGAAGTCCAGGAACGGTCCAAGTGGAAATAGAGCTAAGGAGCTCCGAGCCAGGGCGCGAAGCCAAAACGCCAGCAAAGCCAGACAACGGAGTACAAGAGATGCAGACTTGCAACTCGAGATGGTTTCCACAACCTCCTCCGGGCCTGGGAGGTTCTATCCGGGAGAAACAAATGATGAAAGAAGCCGACGCCGGAAATGGGTCCAAATCCAAGGGTCATTAGGAAGAAATTTCATAACAGACAACTCACGAGACAGGTATCTCATGCAGTCGGGATGGCTAGATCAAACTCCGGGTAGAGAACGTATTAGCGGCGCGGAGGGCGGTGGCGGTCGGATGTGTGATGCCTGTCGGAGTCCCTCTCACTGCGGCGGGAGTGCGACGAGGATGATCCACTGTTTCCCATCTGAGCATTGGAATTCGAAGGAGTAGCCGAAGCGCGGGGGGTTGGGGTTGTATCATACTGTGATCCTTGGCCTGAGCTGTACGACGAAGGGTGAGCGGCACCTGCTGGGGACGCTACATAATTAGATGATGTCGGCGAGGACAGGGAATGTGAGAGTTTACACGCACCGCGTCCATACAACGGATCTTGGGATACTGGCGCAGCTCCGTAGGGCGCCTGCGATGACGGCGGGTAGTAGCCGGAGGGGTAACCTGCCTGAGCTTGAGATCCGGATGGAATGTAAGTCTGTCCCGACTGAGGAGCCATAGTGGTGGGAATCCTTGCGGGCTGTCCAGAGGAACCATAGGAGTCAAAGTTGCGCGAAGCGGCCATGTTCGCGTTGACGGCAGTGTACGGCTCTCCCCCGTACTGGGGAGTTCCAGAGTATCTGGGATCTCTCGGGTCCGGCTGGGGAGAGAAAGCAGAACCTCCCGATGGGTAGGAGTACCCAGCACTTGAAGAATAAGGAGACGGAGCCTGTTGGGAGTAACCAGCAGCAGATGATCCAGAGTAGCTCTGTGCGGCATTTCCCGAGTATCCTGGGGCTTGAGAACCTGGGTATCTGGGTGTGTTTTCATAGGAGTCACGTCCTACGTCCGGGTAGCCAGCGGGATCCGTGGGGCCATAGTGTTGGCGCGCGGAATGAGTCTCCGACTGGCGGTACCCTGCTGTAGGGGAGTTAGATCGTCTCGACAAAGAGGGAGCCGCCGCATCTCTCGAGGCAAATGTACCTCCTTGGGTGTTCCGGGCGGCCTGCTGCCGCCTCTCTGCCTCCCAACGCGCAGAGTCGGCCTTGAGATCATCAATCATAGCCTGCGGGGCTTCGTATTAGCATGCGTATTGTGGTGGCATGACGAGTCGGAAGTCTCACTGTTGTTAGGTTCCGGTACGCGGTGATGTAGTAGCCTTGAACCACTTGGCCGGTTTGAGGGTTCTCGTAGTGACCGGGTCGCACCAAAGCATCGTTTCCGAGGTAGCGGCAGATGTCTGCCGTGATGACCTCGCGATCAATACCATCTCGTGGGACGAAGTACTCGTTGGAACGACCGCTGGAGGGGGGTGCCGCAGAGGAGCTGCCCGAAGGAGGGGCACCGCGCGATGTTCTGGACGACATGATCGAAGGGTTTCGTGAGGGTCGAACGGAGACGAGGACACGGACGGAATGTGAAGAGAGGATGGTATAGGGGGAACGAGAGAGAAGAGAGGGGAGGGACGGCAGGATGGAAATGTCGGCGAGATGGCGGAAAGAAAAAGAAGACGGAAGCGCAAAGGCGGGCAGGGAGTGGGTGGTGGGAGAAGAAAAGGAACAGGCCAGAGTCTGGCTCTTCTCTTGGGGGTGGGGATTGTTCGAAAAACCGGGACCCCCAGCGGTAAGTCACCGACGTGGACCAGTGGCCAGTGATCAAGTCAGTGCTAAGTGGTGAGTGGTGAGTGGTGAGTGGTCACCAGCACACCCTCGTCCTCGTTCTGACTGGACAGGACAAACGCAAGACGGGAGGCGGGAGGCGGGAGAGAGCGAGCGAACGGTCGGGTTGGATGTACCGTAAATGTACACTCGCTGGATGGGAGGCCCTCTTCGTCCTCACACTCTGGATATGTGTGCGTCGTGTGTGAGGGTGCGTGTGTGTGTCTCTGGCTGACTGGCTGTCTATCTGTCTTGTGCGTGGCCCAGCGCAGAGGTACAGCAGGTACACAGGAAACGGTAACCGCAGGCCTCGGGACTGATCTGAGAAACAGGGCTTGTTGGCACCACGTTGTTGGCTGACAGTCCCGTGCGGATTTTCCCAGGCGCTCCAGCAAAACCCCAGCAACCTGGCAAATCTGCCACTCTGTGACTCCCTAGACCTTGCCTGGGAGGGGCTAGGGGCTGGGAGGGGTGGGTGGTGGTGCGTCTTTTGGTGCGGCCAAGTCTGGCCTGGCTGACCGATGAGAGCCTGCCCGTGCCTAGCCTGCGTCTTGGTTTGGTGGGGAAAAAGGACCAGCAGAGAGCCACTGAGAGATGACGAGCCAGACAAAAGTTGGGAAGCAGCAGAAAGACAAGAGGCGGACAGCGGTTGGGCGGCAGCAAGGAAGCTGGGTGGCGGCCGCTCTGAGTGGATGGAGACGGGATGAGGTGCAGCTGCTGGAGGTTGGGCAGCCCCAAAAAGGATACCGAGGAGACTGTACTTCGTCTAGAACGAGTATCTGGCGTGTACTTCCCGCTTCCCTGCCCGGTGCGCGCACTAGCAGAATTCGAAGCGACTTTGGCTGCCGGCTTCTAGCACGCGCCAATCCCAACGTCGTCGCCGCCTTGGTTAATTGGTTGCGTGGGTTCGCAAGGCAGTATTTGACGTCGGGAGAAGAAGAAGCAAATCCAATGAGCGTTTTTCCACGGTGGAGATGAGCCACCCGAGAAGCAAACTGACGTTGGCTCGTCAATGCCCGCCTTGCACAGTTTACTGCCTGCTAAGTGAGAGCGTCAGATGAGGTAATCCTCTCCTCTGGGGTTTCCAGGTTTCTAGCCCCCAAACGTCGTGAGCAAGCGACCGGATGCTACCTGCGGCTGGTGATCCCGTAGCCGTTGTGGGCGCAATACGTAAAGAGTAAGGCGAGTCAGAGAGGCAGCACAACCGAGGTGAGGGCGGTCTGGTAGGGCTCGGCACTCAGCACTGCCAGTGGCTTCCCCATCAACTGCGGTCACAGCCCAGGAATCGGTATTTCCAGCGTGTCTGTCTGTCCCTGAACCCCAGGGACAGCAGAAAGGCGACGAGCTGCGGTGAGATCCAATGCAAGGTTTATCGGCTCGGCTGTACACAAGGGTCGCAACAGGGCTCTCAATGTCGTTGTACGGTCTGGCGACGCCATGGTTTGTTTGTCACTGCCACCGCCTTTCCGGTCTAATGCGACAAGGCTATTTGGTGCCCAATAGAGGATGTTGCGGATCAGTGGAACACGCGGGAGAGCCGACGGAGCGAGTGCCCAAGGGACCAGCGAATAACACAAAGCCGACAAACTCTCGCGTTCCAGCACGGATATTGGGGCCTTGATGGGAGACTTGGCTCAGATGAATGTGATTCAGGCGCTGTTACTCGTGTCTCTCCATCGTGTAAATCGCCATCACTCCTGTCTGCGGGAGCGCTCGACAGAGATCTAGACCGTTAGTGCCGAAAACTCTCGTTTGAGGAATCCTATGCAGCTGAGGCTGAGATGCTGTTCGTCGGCTTGGGATGATGAGGTTTGGGGGAGATGTGGCTCGTGAGTAGTCCCTTCTAGACCAACAAGCGTTTGGTCGTCTCCAGGATGTGTCGAGAATGACGGCTTGCTAGCGCACAGTGGCGTTGGGCAACCGCACCAAAGGGTGTTGTCGGTTGTCTCCCCGGTGCTTTTTTGCCGGGGTGGGTCCATGAGAATTCTAATTCTTGAACTTCGGACCACAATGCCACACGAAATATGCCATGAGTATGGGTTTCCACTTGAAATCAGGATGCGAATCCGGCTCTTTCGAAACATCAGGCTTTTCTCGCCAACCCCTTGCGCACTCCATGTTCAAAAGCGCGGAGACAAACATCCAAAGTTTTGTCGCGCTGTAGGCTTCATTTGCCAGACCCTGATGATCATTGTTTCGTCAGGTTGCCCAAGGTGAGGCGGGTTAAAGTGAGGTGATGCCTGTCATTTTCTCTTCCGTTTTTCTTCCATTTTTATCAACTTGGCCGTCACAGTTGCTGATACCCTACAGAGCCGGGTCATCCCAGCTGCTCAAACGGCGACAAGTCGGTGGCAACGGCGTAACGTGAGGTAGGCAGATCCTGACTTCACTTTCCAGCTGATTGAACCAAGGCCCTGTGCGTGCGAAGTACTATGGTCGTACTCAGTATGGTCGGCACGTCCTTGCGTCGGGTTCGTCTGCCGTTTGACGCCCACGTATCCCAGCGGCTTGGTGTGGTTGACGCTTGTCGGACACCGGTGAGCAATACTCCTTCGACCAGAGGCTTTTACGCGCGGGCGGCATTGACAACGATATAAGAGTATTTTCCATCGAAAGAATCCCTCGCTGATTGATCTCCCCCTTCATCCTCGGTGCTCCGTTATTGTCAAGAAGGTATGTGCGGTTGGTCACGCGTGTTCTGCGTCTCTCATCCGCCTTAGAAGACAATCCGTGCTGAGGTAACTCGATCGCAACCTGGTAGCGGGCGGTGGTTGGTGTCGTTGGGTATCAATGCTTCGCGCCAAAATAATTGTGGCCCAACCCACATTAGCCCAAAAGATGCCTAACTCATGGCCAATCATCGACAGACGCCATCTGGATTCTGACAAGACGACCCGACACATCCAAAACCATACGCGACGAGCAGACCTGGCATTCTCGCGGCAACGACCTCAATCAGAGACACGATGTGCCCCGGTCCTGGCATTCCGAAAAAAGCGCGGCTGTAATGTTTCTTCTATGACTTTCAGCATCGATCCTTGGGCCATCTGGAATTATCATGACTGAGGCCCTGTTCCTCAGTAGACATCGCCCCTGACGCTCCCAATATCCAACACGCGGGGACCCAACCATGTCGCGGATAGCTGCAGGCGGAAGATGGGATGACGACACTGGAGGGTATCGTATATCCACATTAAGCCATCGATAGCGTCGCTCCCCTACAATACGGGAAGCATGTGTCTCCTTGTCTTGTCAGGCTGTCACGGCCAAGTTCTCCGACCTCATTGTCTCGAAACCGCTTACTTCGATGAAATGTGACCCAGCATACGCCTGTACTATGCAGTGAGGAACTACATACTAGATGAGGGCGTCAGGTCGGCATCGAACCAGCATTTCAGTTGACAATACTTGTTGCATCGCAGCCAAAAGTGGCCATTGCAGAGCATCCGAACCAACAACGTCCTTGCTTAATGGATCCCTTCATCCAAGGTTTGTTGCGCCCTTCGTGTGGTGGGCAGATATGAGTTCGGAATCCTCAGGAACCGTTCTTTGAGGTTCGCCGGGGACAACATCATTAATTTGCTCTGCCGCGATGACCCTGGAACCGAGTCTCAGGGCGCGAGGTCCTCAATTTGGTCAGATCAGGTATCAAGCGGCAGGACCCGCTCGACAAACTTTTGACGTAGTGATACCCTTGGTGTGTGATCAGGACTCATCCAAACCTCAACTTGCTCTGGCCTTGCTCGAGTTTGCCTCCGCGGCCGCCTCGCTTGGCCGATGCACCCGATGCTTTTGTGCCAGAGTTGCGTGCAGCAGTGGATCGATTGGCAAATGTGGCACTGCCACGTTCTTCTTCCTGTAGATCCTTGGCGAAGTGCCAATCTGCGTGGCTTTGGTGTTCTTCTGGCGTTTCGAAGCCTGTGTTGCAGCGCGTACATAAGAAGGGCGTGATTGGTGGTTGGCCATGGCTACCGTTGACTGCTTCCTGCCGTCGATCCGCCGTAAGTGTAGCCGCTGGCGAGTCTGCCGTGGTGGCCCTTTTTCGGGATTTGACATCCTCGTTGATGGTTGCATCGTCGGGCAGCAGTTCGTCGTCGGTGGAAACACCCCGTGTAAAGAAGCGATGGATGGCCCCTTCCTCAGTCCGCCGTCGTTTTGATAGATTTTCTTCCGGTATCGATGTGCAGCTTGCTTCACGGGCGCCCTGCCTTAGGGCTTGGGCTTCCTCTCCTTTGAGCAGAAAGGCTCCAATGCCCATGTTACCTGTGATACCATCCTCAAATCCCCCGACGCTCAAGCTTAAATTCGCGCAAGGCCAGACATTTCCTTCTGCTATGATCTGGTTGAGTAGGCTTTTTGCTAATTCAAGGAGAGTCTGCTCATCCAGAGACCTGCCTTGAGGGATCGGGCCTTGCCGTGATTTCATCTGACCGGCATGACGGTGGTGTAGATTTATTGTCCTTGGCCGGCGTTTGTTTTCCAAAACGCCCTCCTCCACCAGTCGGGTAAAAATGTCGGCCACAAAGATTCTAAGCCACCTCACAGCTTGCTCGGGCGTGTTGATGTAAGGTCGAAAGGATTTGGCTGACAACATGGACTTGATTTGTGTACGAGAGTTGACTTCGCTGTTGTCGATACCTCGGATGGTGTTGTATACCCATGTTCCCGTTTCATGCCCCAGCTTTGCCTTCATCTGATCCAAGGGAATGGGCAGCAGTTCACTGACGGCTTCAGTGTTGAAGGTCGTAACAACGTTTTCGCCGAGCTTTCCCCCGAGATTGCGCATCTTTGTGAACTTGAAACCAGACAGGAACTGATCCACGGCTCGGTTCCGGATCACAGTCTGCTGGTTGGGCTTTTTGTGACCGGAGCCTAACTTGCTTAACAGCTTGTTCTTGGCAACGCCGGCCGAACATGTGTAAAAGAGCTTTTCCAGGACCTGACGTCGAACGTCTCGTACAATTTCGGACCCAATGAGGATCGCCACGTCGTCCCAGTCCGGGTCCACGGACTCCTCCTCCTCGTTCAGGTCGATGAGAGCATCTGCTTGCCAATCTAGTGCTGAGACAGGCGGGCTGGGCAGATTCTCAGTAGGGTCGTCGTATGGAGGTGGGTTCCCGAGTTCCGGAAACCGCTCCAGCAGAACGGAGTGCACTTGCGCAGACAGGTCCAAGAAAACCTCGTCTATGCTGGCTTTTTCGACCTTTTGGAGGTCTTGGGGTAAGGATTCCTTGATGACTGCCAAGATCTTTCTGGACTGCAGGCGGTAAGGGTCAAGAGAGACCTTGTCACTCTGAATGTTGGCTGCTGCATCATCGCGGTAGGCCCATTTGTCGTCGCCTTCTCGCCATGTGGCTACATGCTGAGAAATTAGATTCGGGCACATCTTCTTAGCTTCGGTCAAGGTGCAATGGCGGCCGATACCATGCTCCCGTGCTGGGTAATTGACAGCAATCAGACCCTGCCTATGCCATGTTAGTAGAGGCAAGCAGATGGTGTAGGCGGCATACTCACCATTGCTGGACAGCCAGAGGCTGGTCTTTAGGCACGCCCAAACGTACCATCTCACATTGAGCGTAGAAGGCATCTAGATCGATGTGCGCAACGACTCGCAAAGGACAAGAGGTATTGTATGAGGCAAGCTGAGACAGATGTCGATAGGTGAAGTGTGATTTGCGTCTGCCAGTGCCTGCGATGGGGGATGAATCCCGAAAGGGCTGGGAGGACGACATGTTTTCGAGAGTCGCAGCAGTGGCAACAAGTGCCGGCGTCGTCGGCGTAGTTGCCCCAGTTCAGTGGTGGCCGGGTGAGATAGACATTGGCATAAAGACAAGGGGGTTTGAGTTTTTGATGGTAGCAGCACGCTGAAAGTGTGCAATATGAGTGGGCCTCAACGACGATACAAAGGGAAAGCAGGTAAGTTGAGGTTTGGAGGTCGCTGCACAGATATTGGATTGCGCTTGCTAAGTGAGTAGGTAGGTAGTCGAAGCAAACGCAGACGCGATCCTTGACGCGCCTATCTTTTCCACACTACCACAGTGTACTAAGAACAGACGTGAAAGTGCTGGTCGCAGCGGCGCGCAATGTCCTCAACACCGAGACGAGCTTGCCGTAAGGCGCTTAGTGGCTGTCTGGACCCACTCTTTCTCCAACGATGATCCGCAGATTTGACGTGGGTCACTTTCCGATCCATCATCTCCCCTGCTACCTTCCCACTTCGAACTTAACTGTCAGGATTCCAACAATACCGACCAACACCGTGGGACTCGTTAATACAAGACCGTCACAATCATTAACCTTCTCACATACTTCTTTGGCTGGCAACGCCTAGTTGGTACCTGTGTCAAAGTTCCACATCGTTCAGAAAGTCAACGTTGTTTCTGTCTAGGCTTACCAACCTGCCTTGCTACACTACTATCATCCAGCAACACGTCACTGAGTTTTGGCGCACCCGGCGTGCAAGCCCAGCCTGATTCCAACCGAACGCTTTGAAAAGACAGGCCTGCAGGTCTTCGGAGTTGGAGCCTGCGCAACGATAGTTGCTGCCTCCCCCACGGCGTTTCATTCAGCTTCGTTACCCGATGTCTCGCGAGGCGGTGGACGACAAATGGATCCCCACGCGAACGATGCCAGTTGAGTCTTCTTGATTGGTCGATATACTGGCAGCAACACTCTTTCCCGGAGACTGGGGCTCTTATCGACGAAAGACACAGTATTTCCTACATCGGGATGGTGGTGTTACTTGGCCCCTCATGCCACGAGAGACCTGACACGGCCTTCTCTACTCTAGGCATTCGAGACACAGATGGATGCGCCATTGGATGGTCCTGCCTTTCTAGCATCACGTACCTGCAAATCTAAGCTTGATGGGCCTGCTTCTTCAGTTCAAGAAACCGTTGTTCCCAATCGGGCAGTGACGACGACTCCTCTTCTCCACTCCCATGCTGCTCATATTTGACATCTATCCGCTGGAACCGACGGCTCAACGTCGAGCAGGCTGATGCAATCAGGCGTCATCAACGGCCTGCGTCGAGAGCGAGGCAGCCATCCTCAATCAAGCCTACCTTGCGAAGACGCAGCCCCCGAACACGTTCAGCATCTTCTTGGATACTGCTCGTAAGGCTGCAGCTTCTATTCGGGTTGCCCACCTCTCCGAAAGAAAAGGTGGCACAAGCTGCCATCATAGTCAGACTGGCTGCCCGCTCCGGTTCCCCCGCTTCACACCTCCGTTTTTCGCCGCTTCAAGCAAGACATCGTCATCTGCTGTGGGAAATCCTACAGCCTTATGCGCTGAGATTTGTCCAATGCTACCATTACCACATGGCGTATATGCTGCCCTAGCGTTTATTCGGCCAATCCGACGCCGCCGATGCTTGAAGCCTCTGGTTCTCCTGCATCCGCTCGCTGACGGAAGGCTTCCAGGTCCAACCATCACCATGTGCAGAATCTTAGGCCCCGAAGTCACACCCCTTGGAGATTAGTACTCCAAGATGACAGAGGGGAATGAGACATGGGCTTTCACATGGCCAACGAGCGTCAGTTTCCATACTCCCGACCCCACGCTTCACGTAACGCCGTGACCATCGCCTTCACCTATTCGACAAATTCGATATCAATTCCATCGCGTGAATTTTCGAGGCCCGTGATCCTACGGACAGAGGGGGGCCGTAGAAGTGCAAAAAGTGTCTGGGTTATGATGTAAGAACTCAAAGTCACAGGCGAGGCTCGCCAACAGCACCAGGCAACTGGCCCTACCTGAAACCTCTAATTTGCGGCCCGCCAGCCACTTGGAATGTCGAAGCAATATTGTGATGCCAAAGCCAGATTGGACGACTACGGTCATCCAACGGAGTTGTACTCCGATTTGGTTTGTTGGTATCCTATTTGTAGGTATCTTATGCTTGGGACGAATTGCTATCATACGGACGACAACTTCAAGCTGTGGACCCTTCCAATTGGGTCCATTGTGGGCTTAGCTATTTCAGCATGCACTGAGAGAAGAAAGGCTGGAGGTGGTATCTGTGGTAGAAAGGGGGAAGTCTAGTAACGAGTTACCTGACGCAACCTTATTCTATGCTGTCCTGTAACGCCGTATGGGGTGGGTCTTCTGGCTGCCTTCTGATGTCGCCTTGTCCGAGCAAGAGAGCAAAGAATCGGCACTTTTGTCTCTGTCTCTCGGCCCCATGGACCCCAAGCAATCCATCGTCCGGGAGGGTGAAGGCTCGGTAAAGTCAAGAAGCACGGCGGTCGAGCTTTCTCATCTCATTAGCCCCTTTCTCGGACTAGAGTTCGGGCATCCCGCGGTGGCTGTCGGTCTGCGTAGGTGGACGATGTACCCGGTCATCGGTATCAGGTCATCTCCCAGAGTTGATCTCGCAGCTAGACCAGTCAGAAGTCGTCCTCCATGGGTTGTTTACCAGGAATATCGAGGCCAAGGTATCACTGAACCAGCCTAGAGGGGGCCATCCCAT